TTGTGTGGCTGCTCAGTGGTTTCACCAGCCTGATTCTCCCTGGGTTCTGCTCCTTTCTGATCCATTTGGGAGATGCCCTAGGAATCCCCTCGGGACAGTGGGAATCTTTCTGGGATTGTTTTCACATATCCATTGAGCTCTGAGTAGCTGGAGGTTGTGGAAGAGGGAAGGGCACTTGGAAAAGGGGGAGGCTCTGCTCTGCTTTCCTAGTGCACAGCTCCAGTTTGGGATTTAAATGGGAATAAAAGCCTCTAAAACAGATGAGAATTCCTGCCCTGCCAATTCCTTGTAGCTTTCCTTGAAAAATAACTGTTTTCCCAAGAAATGATACATTTTGACCATTATCTTTCCAAGTCCTATTTATCCAGTTAGTTTGTGGCTTTTCTTATTTTCCTTTTTGGTTTTTTTTTTTTTTTTCCTTTTTACATTCTGGAAGTTCAGTGCTTGGAAAATGCTTGGATGTTGTGGAAAGAATTCAGGGCTTAGAGGACTCGTGTAATCTTCCCTCTGACATGCAATCCAAAGGATTGTATTACGGAGAGTGTTTTACCTGGAAAGTTATTCCAGTCCTGGATGTGTCCCAGAAGTGGAAGTCTGTGAGTCCAGTTCCCAAGGGAACTGAGAAATGGGAACGACCTTGTTCCCAAAGAGCATTTTCAGTGGGTATTTTAGGAGGATAATTGAATTGATCCTCGAGGGAACGAGTTAAGCTGATGTTGTCAAAATAGAATTGGGTTTTTTTGGGATAGCCGCAGGTGTTTCAGGGATATTTATGCTCCAGTTTCACTTTGTCGTAATTCCAAGAAATTCCAGGCCGTAGGAGGTCATACAGCAGTCATGTCTTCTCCCTGGCATATCCATTTATCCCAAAAATCACAGCTTGGGGTTGCTTCAAACTTCTTAACCTTTTTTTTTTTGTTTCCAGTGCTAACGAGCTGGATAGTGACGTGGAATTTTATTGTCCTGCTGTTTTTCCTCCTGCAGAGAAGATGGAGAGCTGGAAGATGGGGAAATAGATGATGCTGCCTACGAGGATGTGAAGGAGCACAGCACAAAGGGGGATGACAAACAGAAAACCGACAAAGGCCACCGGAAATCCCGGAAAAAACGCAAAAAAGAGAAGGAAAAGAAGAAATCCAAGAGGAGAAGACGGGACAAGCATAAGGTTAGGATAAAAAACCAAAGTATTGGAGGTGCTGGTGGGAATTGCAGGTTTCCAGGTTTAGACAAGAATCCAGGGAACTGGAGAAGGAAACTAAAGTGGTGTCATTAGTATTAAGACTTAAACTGGTTTTAAATCTCAAGCAGTGGTTCAAGTTAAGCCCTGGCCACTGAGAGCAGTCTTGGAAGCTGAACCACAGGGATCTGAGAGTTTTTAGGATAAAGAGGCAAAAATGGAAGTTTACCAGTTTCGCTTTTGTGCTGATTATTTATGGGAAGAAAAGATTTCAGGCAAGATGAGTGAATTCTTCAGGAAAATTCATTGGGAAAACGCAGCTAATAGAGATTTTAATCAACTTCAGTGCAAGAGGTTAATAAAAATTAATCCTGGAAAACGAAACCTGCTGGTCCTTTTTTTAAAACAGAGTGTTCTCATATGGATCCCTTGAAATTCCTGGCAGTTCCACAGCTCTTTTTGCCTTTTTTTTCCCAGCATAATTCCCCTTCCAGCGATGACAGTTCCGACTACAGCCACGACTCCGACATGGAGCGCCCGGAAAGGCCACACAAGAAGAGCAGCAGCTCTTCCTACAGGGATTATGATTCGTCCTTCAGTCAGGTAGGAAGTTTTTCAAGGGATTTCTCAGCTCTTTATTGAGGTGGCATTTCAAAAATGCCAATGGAAATGCCGTGGTTTGGGAATTCTGGCTCGATCCCGGTGCCCGTTCTCCCAGATTTCAGGGAGCACATCTAGTTCTCATCTCCCTGGGTGTATTCCCAGATGGAGAGCAGGATCTGTGGCAGAAGTGAGGAAGTGTAAACAAGCTTGATGCCAGTTTTTCCTCCACGAGGCAACAGGAATTAAGGAATCTTTATTATTAAGGAATATTTTATTGCCTGTTTTGACTTTAGATGGGACTAAGAGGAAACAGCTCTTGAAAAGCCATTTTTCAGTATCTAAAGTTGATTCTGCTGCCTGGGAGCTCAGTTTGTCCTGGTTTTTCCCAGTCTGGGAATCAAAAATAGTGGTTTTTATTGAATAACTGATTTTTTTTGTATTCCCGATGCTTTCTTGGGGCAAATCTGGGAGTAAAACAGCCCCAAAAATGGGTTTTTAGAGCAGTTTGGAGTGTGGGATTTGGAAATACGGAGTTGCTTCCTAATGCAGTCCCTTTCCTCCAGCACGGCCACGTGTCAGGGAATTACATGAGTTCCCAGAAAATGCAGCATAAAAAAAATGTCAAGAGTAAGGACTATGACGACTACAGTCACTACAGCGATGAAAACTTTGGGAATTACAACGAGGAAGAAAAGGATGAGGATTTTGCTGACCAGCTGAAACAGTACAGACAGGCTAAGGAGACCTCCAGTGGGGATTTGGGACCTCCATTCTCCAAGGAGCCGGTGAAGAAACAGGGGATGAAAGGGATCCAGAAAGGTAAGGGAATTCTGGGGGGGGCAGCAGCTGTGTCGTGGATCATTCTGGGATGGAGACCTGGATGAGGGAAACTGCCACCAAATGTTTCAAGTGGTTGGGCTGGTTAGACATAACATTTCCAACAGCAAAAAGAGAGTTCCTTTGTTCCGTGATGTCACTAGAGAACCATAATTTCCCTTAATTTCATGGTCTAAAGAGGTCATTCCCGTTTTCCAGGCATTTCCCAGCGAGGGAACAATTACAACGTGGGCCGAGGGCGTGGGATGCAGAAGAAGCTGAAGCGCAAAGACCGTGGCAGGGGAAGAGGAGGCAATAAAGGATCTGATGGCTTCCATGAGGTACCTGGGATCACAGCCCTTATTCCCAGTGCACCACGTGGCAGCTCATATTTGTGCAGCACCAGTAAAAAGGTGGATTTGTTGGTTTTCCAGGATGGCAAACCAGTGAAGAAATGGGTGAATATGAGCCAGGAGTTCATCAACCAGCACACGGTGGAGCACAAGGGCAAACAGATCTGTAAATATTTTCTCGAAGGCAGGTGCATTAAGGTACAGTTTTAATTCTTTTTTTACTTCATTCTTAGCTTCATTTTTACACCATTCTTGGGTGTTGCAACTCAGTGTTTTGATTTCTGAGGTTTTGAGGATTTATTGATAAATCCAGCAGAATTGCTTGTGGGAAAACATCCCCTTCTGTTACACATTTTGAATTTAACTGCTATTAGATTCTGTTTAATTTATTAATTCCATTGTAAGTATTATATTTTTATTAATATCTGCAATAAAACCATCTGTGACAGCATCATAAACTTGCACTGGCAATGCATCATATGTAAATACCATATAAAAATATATTTTTTTAATCATATGATAAATCTCACAAGTCTGGAACCTAAATAGGCAACAATTCCCAAATATATTAAGTTGTTTGTTCCTTTGCTAATTTGGAAACATTGATTTCCAAGTGATTTCTCTCTCTAAAAAGTGGGATTGTTATAAAACACACCCTTAAACCACTGGATGCTTCTTCAGTAGTGACTCACTTTTCTTTGGTTCCTCAGGATTTAGAAGTGGAATATTTTATGTTTGTTTCTCAAATGGTCAAAATGAAGGTGAAAATGATTGGAAATATTGTATTTCTTGCTGCCTTTAAATGTTTGGCTCAGTGAGACGAGTATTTGCTGCCACCTTCAGTTTTAAAAGGGGCTGAAAGAGCACTTGGTGTCTTGTTCATGAAAATAAATGCTAAAAAGATCCACAAACCCCCTGCCCAGCAAAATAATCCAAATGGATAACAGGATGTATGGAAAATAATTCAGGAAAATATTTGCTTCAGTGCCTTTTTTAATGCAAATTCCAAGGTGGAGGCAGAGAAAAGACCTGAGACTGTAAGAGCAACTTGTTTTCTGTCACCACTCTGTATTTCCTTTGAAATCCAGTCCAGGAATTTTCTCCTATTCACTCTTTTTAGGGACATGTTAGTCAAGATAAAAAGTTTCAGCTGAGCTGAGGAGGATGTTCTTCTTTCAATGGGAAATGAAATTATTCAGCATGTCACAGTGGCTAATGGCTTTTCCTTGTTTTTTTTTGATTTATTTATAGGGGGAACAGTGTAAATTTGATCACGACGCAGAGATTGAAAAGAAAAAGGAAATCTGCAAGTTTTACATCCAGGGTTACTGCACCAAAGGAGAGAACTGCATTTATTTGCACAATATCCTTTGAAAACACTTGGAATTTCATCGGGAAGTTTATATTTCTGTTTATTTCTGTTTGTTTTGATGTGATTTTTAAGGGTGGCTCTTTCTTTCCTTAAGAGACTCTACCAAAGATGGTAGATTTGTTACAGATGATTTTTTTTCTTAACTAGTTAAGAGGAAAAAATAAATATAAAATCCGGGGTTTTGTCAATTTTAAGGATTTTTAACATTTTTAAAGATAAAACTCCTTGAAGTTCAGATATATTTATCCACATATTTTTTTAACCTCTGATCTGTTCCTGATTATTGTCGTTCTTGTGCTTTCCTTCCCCTTTTTAATCCCAACTTTAAAATGAAACCCGAAGGCCACAGAAATGTAATTATTAGGAGAATTTTAAGTGGGAGTAAGAGGTAAGTTGGTTTTTAGCTTCCAAATTTCATAAAGTGTGGCACTGGAAAGGTGAATTCCTGGTGAAGAATTGAAGGATAGCTGCCAGCTGGATTTTCTAACCTTCCCAAACTGTTAGGAATCCTTAACTCCTAGAATTACATGAATTCCCCTGCAAGTTCTACCACACAGGAGCCAAGTGCTATCAAGGAGATAAGTGCAAATTCTCTCACGCTCCCCTGACTGCGGAAACAAAGGAGCTGCTGGATAAGGTGAGGGATCCTGGCACTAATCCTGACCTCTGGTTCACGTAGGATTTTCCTGTCTCTCTCCAGTCACTGCCCAACAGGCCTTAAGAGAAGAGGGGGGTGAATCCAACACTAAAAACATTAGGAGTCTTAGAACAACAACTCCTTCCACTCCTCTCACGTAGAATTCCTGTCTGAAGGAAGTGGACTTGTGGGAAATTGTCCCTTCTTGGCTACTGGGAGTAGTTTTCTTCCTGCCTGGGAATTGGTGTCCTGCAAAACAACCCCCAGAAATGGGTTTATAAATCCTCTGAGCGGGATGTCAATACCCAGGGAAGGTTGTTTATTTAAATATGTAAATAATAATATTTAAACGGGAGGTGTGAGACTGAATTGAATTGCAAATAGTGGGAAATTGATGGAATGTTTGCTCCGTGGCTTTGTTCCAGGTTTTGAATAACGAGGAGGAGCCCCAGAATGAAGATGAGAAGGAGCTGGAGGAGCTCCGGAAGCGGGGCATTGTTCCTCTCCCCAAACCCCCTCCGGGCGTGGGGCTCCTGCCAACCCCCCCAGAGCAATATCCCTTCTCCGAGTCCGACATGGAAAATTATCAAGATCCTTCAGGAGATTATAAGAAAATCCCGTCTCTTTTTGAAATAGTCGTGAAGCCCACTGTGGATTTGGCACACAAAATTGGGAAGAAGTAGGTGTTGGAATTCTGGGTGGAACTCTCTGAACATTTCTCATTTCATATTTAATCATTGGCTTTGTCCCTGTCAGGATTCTGGGATAAGTTAAGGATCTGCCAGATACTTGATATCAGAGTTATTGAATGCATTCCATGGAAAGGCTTGACCTTCCAGAAGGTCACTCCGTTGGCTCTCGGTTTGGCATCTCCATCTGCAGGTGGAGGAGTTCATTCCCTGCTCCAGTCCTTTTGCAGTTGGCTTTTTCCTGAGGAAAACTGATGGAGATGAGCCAATGCTGAAAAAAAATGTGCTTCCAGCCAAACTCCGTTGTCATTCAGGATAAGAGGACACGGCCTCAAGCTCCACCAGGGGAGGGTCAGGAGGAATTTCTTCATGGAAAGGGTTGTCAGGCCTTGGAAGGGGCTGCCCAGGGAGGTGGTGGAGTCCCCATCCCTGGAGGTGTTCAGGGAAGGACTGGATGTGGCACTCGGTGCTCTGGTCTAGTGACTGGGCAAAGGTTGGACTTGATGATCTCAGGGGCCTTTTCCAACCTAAATGATTCCGTGGGATTCTGCGATATATGGAATGGGTGTAGTTAACTCTCTTGGAAAACAACTCTGCTCCTTTGGGATTTTTATCCAATTTAAGGTCAAATAAGTACGAGTGGGGAGGGGGAGGAGAGAGCCAGTAGATCCAAAATTTGATTCCTTCCATTTTCTCCTCCCCCAGGCCACCGACCTTCTACAACAGCGCGTCGCCCCCGAGGCCGCCGTTCCAGGGCAACGACCCGCATTCCCAGCACATGTACAATCCAGGCTCGAGTCCGGGGCCGGGCCCCGGCATGTCCCAAGGACACAACGGGCCCCCGATGCACCCCGGCTCTCCCGGCCACCATCCCTGCGGAGGGCCCCCGGGGCCGGGAATGCCGCAGAGCCCCCCCATGCAGGGGGTTCCCCCGGGCTACATGGGCCCGCAGAACCAGACTGGAATGCCCATGCAAGGGCAGCAGGGGGGGCCGCCCCTCACCCCGCCGGGGCTCGGGGGCTCCTACAATTCCCCCGGAGTGCAGGGACACATGGTGAACATGCCCAGGGACAACCACTGTCCCCCGGGGCCGCAGTACCAGCAGATGCCTGGGGAGTACGAGTCCATGCAGAACCCCGCCGACTTCTACGACAACTACTATTCCCACCAAGCTGTGCATAACTTCCAGCCGGCCAATAATTCCGGAGGTGAGCGCGTCTGCTGGAAGAAGCTTGGAGAGAAACCTCCCGGAATGTTGTCAGCGTTCCGGCTTTTTCAGCCAGTGGTGTCTGGTTGTGTTGAATAAGTCATGTTTTGCTTTAGGTTTAGGTGGGACATTGGGAAGAAATTGTTCCCTGTGAGGGTGGTGAGGTATTGGCACAGGTTGCCAGAGAAGCTGTGGAAGTGTGCAAGGCCAGGTTGGATGGGGCTTGGAGCAGCCTGGGCTAGTGGAAGGTGTCCCTGCCCACGGCAGGGGGTTGGTATTGGACCTTTAAGGTCCCTTCCAACCGAAACCATTCCATGATTCCGTGTCTTACAGCTGTGAAAACTTCTCTGGGATAGGTGCTAACCGGAGCTTTGTTCTCCTGCAGATGGAACGTGGCACGGAGAGTTCCCAGACCACCAGGCTCACCTCATGGCTCAGGAGTCGCATCCGGGCGGGAGCGAGTCGGAATGCATGAGCGGCCACATGGGCCACAACCAGGCCCTCAACGTGCCCGACTTCCTGCCCGCCATGCAGAAGGCCCTGTATGCCAGGCTCAGCCAGAAGCACCAACGGGACGGGGACTCTGCCAGCAGCCAGGGCCAGAGGGCCATGAGCAAAGACGAAGGTGAGGAGGATTTTGTCGGAATTCTCAGCCCGGTTCTTGGCTGGGAATTAGCTGGGAATAAATCTGCTGACACTGATTTGCGTCACTGTTCGCGTTACTGGGGATGCACAGGCAGCCACTCAGTGTTTTCAGCTCTTCTTCCCAGCTTCTTCTGGGATTTTAGTACAGGCTTAGTTGCTTCATCCTAGCTCCGAGTAAAAAGATCCGTGGATAATTTGTGGATCTAGGTGGCACTTTTAAAAGGTTCTGTGGTTGATAATTACTTCTGAAAATCCCTCATTGAACCAGAAGGGTTTCTTGCTGCCAGGAATGGAGGTGCATCCTACATCCTGTTTTTTCAGTTGCACCTCTTGATCTTTTTTCCTAGAGCAGTAATTTTTCCTCTGTGATATCCTTTAAAATTAAATATTCTTATTTCTTCCCATCCTGAATCTTGAATTGTCCCCCAAACCTTGGGATTTGGATTATAGTAAGGCAGCAGGTTTTTCATTTATCTGGTTTTAAGGGGCCCTTTTACTTTTCAAGACTCAGAGTTTAGATGTGGGGTTTTTTCACCAGTACTGTTAGACTTGTTTGGAAGCAGGTTATTTTCCCAAATTAATATTGATGGATATGGAGAGAGAACATGGCAGAGCCTGGGAGTATCTCCACTACCTCCAGGATTTTTTGATGTGTCAGTTCTTTGATTAGATGGAGTTTTGTCATTTTAGATACTGTTTTTATAAGACAGGGAGTTATGATTTAATATCAGATCTTTTCAGCTTGATTTCACTGAGAAGTTTCCCATTGTGGAGTAAATGTGTCGGATTCTCTGGGGATTAATTGCTTGAATAATCGAGATTCTTTGGAATTTCTTTGGTTTCTAGATGACAATGTCAACTGGTATTCCAGTAGTGAGGAGGAAGAGGGGAGCAGTGTTAAATCAATCCTCAAAACCTTAAAGAAACAAAGCGAAAACTTTAGGAATCGGCAGCAACATTCCACGGAGCAGCACATGCTGGGAATTCCTACGGATCCCAGGCTGGCCAAGGACAAAGGTATGGGGCCTCAGACTGCTGACCCGAGGCTTCGGGCCTCTCCAAGGCCCAATCCCAGGAAACCCTCCGATTCGGCGTCCCTGGACCCCCGGCTGGCCCGCGATCCGCGGATGCACAAGGTGAGCGAGGGCCACGCCGGCTCCTCCCTCGGGGCGGCCAAGCTGGATTTGCACCACGCGCACGCCGGAGTCAAAGTCAAGCAGAAAGGGATGGACGATGACGAGGAGGACTCGGAAAGAGAGCTGAGGGAACGGGCTTTCCTCATTCCCTTGGAACCTTTGCCCGGCGTCACGTTGAGGGATCCCCGCTCCCAGCTCCGGCAGTTCAGCCACATCAAGATGGACGTGACCCTGATGAAACCCAACTTTGCCAAGCACATCGTCTGGGCCCCCGAGGACTTACTCCCCATCCCTTTGCCTAAGCCCGACCCCGTCTCCTCCATCAATTTACCTCTCCCTCCGCTCATTGCCGACCAGAGACTGAACAAACTGCGGAATCTGAAGAACGATCCGCACCCCAACGCGATGCCAGCCGACCCCCGGCTCGCCGCCAAGGCCAAGAACAGCCTCGCGGGCCGGAGCGGCTACTTGGATCCGGCTGCGGATTCCCACGCCAGCAGCTCCAGCAAACTGGGGGATCCCCGCTTGCAAAAGAACGTGGATCCCAGACTCCACAGACTGTCGAGCGCAGACGCGCACCACGGAGCCGGGAAGGATCCCCACCCTCCCAAGTTCGACCCCCGGCTCGCCAGAGCTGCCGCCAGCTCATCCCAGCCCTCGGAAGCTGCGGCTCCGAAACCCGACGCCGACGCTCTGCCTCCGTACGCGCCCAAATTGTCGTCCAGCGGCGTCAGGCTGGGAACGCCCGGCTCCATCCTGAGCGGGATCAGTTTGTACGATCCCAGGGATCACGGCTCCGCCTCGGACGCGGCGCCGGCCGGCTCGGGAGAGAACGGAGAGAACCAGAAAAAAAGTATTTTGAAAAATTCCAGTAAAAGCGAGCCCGGCCTCGCGGAAGACGCGTCCCTGCAGAAAGCCGCCTCCAACGCGGAAAAAACTACGGAAGGATCAGCGGAGGCTGCTCCAGACAAAGCCAACAGCACCAGTAAACCTCAGGCTAAACACTCCAGCGCTGCTCCTGCCGTGCATAATCTCCCCATCCAGGCTTTGTCGGGATTAATCCGGCCGCAGTACAGCGACCCCAGGCAGGTGAGGCAGCCCGGACAGGTAACGCAGACCCCGGAGAACGATCCCAACGGGGAGTCGGATGATAAATCCTTGAAAGATGTTTTCAAGACTTTCGATCCAACCGCTTCCCCGTTTTGTTAGCAGACGGCTTCGGAGCCTTTTTACCGTTGTGGATATTGCAGTTCTCTGCTGTTTTGTACCTGGGTTACCTCTTTTGGCTTTATTTATTTTTAAATTATAATTCCCACCACTTTTCAGCTGCTAATCCCGAACCACACGCAGTTCTCCAGTGCGCTCGAGTGTTTGCAAAGCTGTGGTATTTTCTAGAGAATCCTTTTTTTTTTGTTTTTTTTCCAATTTCAGGGAGACTAATAATTGACCTGTAGAAAGGAAACCAATCCCCCCCGGATCGTGTTAGAGCTGAGAAAAGCACTTTCATTGTAAATAAGTCATGGAAAATCCCCAGAGCTGTATATGTGTGAGCTGCCTCTTCCCAACCACCACTTAGATCCGATTGCCACATTTGTATAGATCCAAGCAATATTATGTACATTAATTCCCGGGAGAGACGCCGTTCCAGGACTGCCAAACCCCCCGAACCGATGGAAAACCTGCGTAAATGAATTCCAAGGAAGCCGTCGCTCCTCCTTTTCCGATGCGTTGATGTAAGACACGGACAGTTTTTATTCCTGCAGTCAATATTAGTGTAAAAGAGACTCTATCGCATATTGAGGATGAAAAAATGTCATATCTTTTCAAAGTATTTTATTCTATGCTGTACATAGAAAAAAAAATTGTGAAGTACATAACTAGGAGAAGTAACTGTTCAAAGTGGAGAGAACTACGTTGTCTAATACGAGAAGAAAAAAAGGTTTTTATTTAATTTCTTTTCCACACCTACACGATTGGGATTTAGTGCTCCGAGTTCCATTGTGGTGTTCATGTATTTCAACGTATTTTTGTATTCAGCTGCTTAATTTGTATTGCTTTTTTTGTATGGCTGTAACCTGCAGTACTTGTATTCATGGTGTCTCGGCGACATTTTTAACAAAACAATTAAAAAGGGTACCGTTAATCCCTGGTGGTGACTCCGTGGGGACGCTGGGATGAGGGGGATAATGCTGTGGGATGGTTGGTGGGTTCTTAACTGAACCAGGTACCTGCTTCCAAGGCCCCTCTTGGAGAGAGTTGCCACTTTTCCACTGCAAAACGTCCTGCGTGGCTTTAATTTCCACGGGAGAACACAAATGTCCTCCAAGCCTCCCGTCCTGCCTTTTGGGTTGCTTTTTCTCCAGAGGAAATGTAGTCATTCCTAGCCCAGCTGCCTTTCCAATAAAAACTTGCCGGCTGCTCGGTCACCGCCCGCTTCCCGCCCCTTTGGAATGTTTCTTTGCATTAAGCCTCTTCCTTGGTGCACCTTTTCCTCTTCTTTCTTTGTTGGCCCAAGCGATGCTTCCACTGGGACAATCGAGTTTATCCCAAATTCTGAGGTTTTGGTTTCTTGCAGGGATGAACCAAGGGAAGCTGGTAATTCCTTCGTGGCAGAGGAGACGTCTCCAAAGGCAATTGCGGTTTCAATTTGCCTTCCTGATTTCCCAGAGCGTAAATTCCATTAATTTTATGGTCTTCTGAATAGGAAAACTGGGTAAGGGACACGGAACCTGGTTGTTATTTTGGAGTAATCCATTAGTTCTGCGTAATTACATCTTCATGTAGTGACAAGCGTGGCTGGTCAAGGTTTTCCTCAAAAAATCCAAGCCAGCAGGGAAAAATGGTGTGGAAATAGGACATGGATACAAAGGCCAGTGAGTCCTCACAGCCTGGGTAACTCTGTAACTCACTCCTTCCTTCCTGCCTTCCTTCCTTTCCCCCAACCCCACAGGTCCCCATGGACCCTCCCAGCACCTCTGTGGCTGCTCTGCTCCTCCATCCACCCCTGCTCCCTGCTTTATCCGTTGCAGATTGCTTCCCAGAATCTCCAGTGTGCCTGCTGCTCTCTCCCTTGGAACACGGAGGAGATTCCTTGCGACCGCACAGGTAACAGAATTCCTGCTACGGGGGAACGTGATAGAGAGGCAGGTGGGGACGCCAGGGTGGGTTGGAATGGGCTGTGCATCCAGCCAGTTGTGATCTGCTGTGGTGTTGGATTGTGAATTCCGCAGGGAAGGCTCGTTTCCAGCCCTCCTGCACGCGCGGTATTCCGGCATGGATCAGCGTTTCCATGGGACACCTGCAGCTCCTTCCCCTGAGGCTGTGAAGGGTGGATGTGGAGAGCCAGAGGTGCAGGAGCAGCCAGTGTCACCAGTCTGGGATCCCCTGGAAGCTCTGAGGTGGGTGATGGTCGGGACTGAAGGTTTTACTTGGTAGGAGAAAAATCCTGGGGCTGAGGGGGATTTTGGGAGGAAATCTGCAGGATCAGGGACACAATAAAAATGTACCCGCTGCTGTATCCCTGGATATGTGATCTGTGACCTTGTCTGCCCTCTGCAGTGCAGAAAGACTGAGCAACTCTGGATCATAAAATCCTGGAATGGGTTGGGTGGGAAGGGACCTTAAATTCATCCCATCCCACCCCTGCCGTGGGCAGGGACACCTCCCACTGGAGCAGGTTGCTCCAAGCCCTGTCCAGCCTGTGTCACCACCTGGTGTTTGCTGCCCTGTGGGTAAAACACTCACCAGAACATTCCTGGAAAACGCTCCAACACAAATCCCTCATCTTGCAAATATTCCAACGCCATCAGGATGAGAAGCTCCTCCCTGGTTTTACAGGTGTCTGTCCATAGCCGTGTGTCCCTTCCTGGGACTGGGATGCTTTGGGATATTCCTGGTCTGAGGGGGTGGTTCTTGCCCCATACCCATCAGGGTGGGCTCCACCTTTGCTTCCCGAGTCTTGCGGAGCCCTAACTCATCCCTGTTGGAATTTAAAGCCTCCTTGGCTCTGTGCCACGACAGGTTTTTCTTCCACTGCAGGCAAAAAGCAGCAACTTCTTCTGCTTCAGGGTCAGGTGAGGGTTGTCCCAAACCCTGCTGGACAAAATAATTGCTTTAAATATCCCTGTACATCCTAAAATGACAGGAAAGTCTGGACGTGGGCTGATCCATGTGGGATTTCTACCTCTTAATGCTCACAGTGCTTAAAAATGCTCAAAAAGGTGCTTACAGGGAGAGAAAAGGAGTGCAGTTTCTTGAGAAGCAGGGAAATTTCCAAAGGGAGATTTCCAGGTCATAAAGGACTTTGGAATCTAGACAGTCAGGATTAATTAATTGATTAATCCAGGCCGGAATCAGCAAAGTGAAAAATGGACAAATATAGGAAATTTTTAAGTTTGGGCAATTAATTAACACAGGAGGAGCTTTGTCACCCTTGGGGCTGATTATACAGATAATGGGATTTTAAAAAAACTGTCTCCTTCAAAAAGACAGGCTGATCCCAGAAAAAGTTGTAGGATTGTAGAGGAGGGTGGGACTCAGCTGGAAACGCTGCCTCAGGAGAGGCTGGTGGTGGTTACACTTGTTTTCCAAGTGTTTTCAGGTAAAATCTGCTCCCACAGTCTGTTTCCAGTTGGATCAGTTGGCTGTTGATGGCAGCTGTGTGGAAAGCTCGTGGGAGTTTGGCTTTTGGGAATAAAGGGGATTAGCAGGGACTATTTCCAGCTAAAGGTGACTCCGGGAACAACACATGGGAAGGCGTACGATGGGCTTTGGAAGCCAGACAGAAAGGCACGGAATAAAAACATCCCAGGAGGAATGTTTGCTCCAGCTGGAGTCCCACAGCACCGGGGGCTTGGAGCAACCCTTCCCCCTGCCCCCAAACATTCCCTGATCCTGTGGCTGATCCCAAGGCTCACTCACTTTGACAGAGGCCGCCTCGGCCGCGCCCAGGAGGTGCCGCACCGCTCGCACCAGGTTCTGCGCGTTGCTCAGGAGCAGCTCCGAGGAGGCCTTGCTCTCCCCAGTCACCGCTTTCACCCTGAAAAGACATTCCAGAGGGTTTTACTGGAAGGGCATCGGGCATCCCACAGCGTCATTACTCCAAACCCGGCTCATCCGCTGGGTTTGGAGTAACCCGGGCAGGAGAGGGAACCCTCCGAATGGTGTCTGAACTCCCACCACCGCCCACAAGGACCTCCGGGGGCCACCACGCGCATTCCTTCTCCAGGGTGTTGGGATGACCTTGGGAGAGGTGATCCCTGGGCCTGGCAGCTCACCTGGCCACGATGGCGAGCTGGCTGCTGAGGGTGTGGGTGTGCTCGGAGGCGCGGAGCAGCTCCGTGGAGCATCTCTGGTCCGGGCACTGCTTGGCGAGGACGTGCCCAAATCTGACAACCACCTGCCCGTCGGAAGCGATTTGCCTGGCACAGGCAACAAACTGCTCCTTGCTCTGAAACGGGATAAAAAGCAACGGGATTGGGGAGGGAAGGAGGAAAAAGCTTTTACTGCGGGACAGGGAAGGATACGTGAGGCCCGGATGCATCCCGGAACGAGGAAAAGGTGGGATGCCAAGCTCACATCTAACCAAGAGGAAGGAATTTTGAGTATTTTGCATAAATAGAGCTGGTGCCTGTCTCCTGAGAATGGGGTGACACAGGGATTTGGGATCCTGAGGGAGAAGTGGAGGGGTGGAATGCTGCGTACCGCGATGGGGCCCTTCTTCCTCAGGAACTGAGCCATGTGCAGCATCCTCATTGCCATGTCCTGGATGACCTGGGACACCTTGCTGGGGCTGCCCTGCTGTGTGTCACAGCTTCCTCTCTTGTGCTTTGCAGGGGAGATGCTGGAAGGGCCATCCTGCTGCTGTCCAGACAGTAATGGAACAGATTCCAGGTCCGGAGCGTGCGGACACAGCGGTGCCGAGCGGCCTCCTCCACCTGCCTGCTTCTGAAACAGATTTTGGTGAGTAAAGTTGGTGGGAGAGGTGGGGGCCCTGCTGCGTCTGTTCCAAATCCCCCCCCAGCCCTTCTTCCCAGATCCAAAGCCCCTGGAGCCAGCTCCAAATGGGAGCAGCTGTCACGTGAGCTGACAGTGCACAGTTCAGAGCACAGCTGAAACAGTTCTCCTGAGGGACCTGGGCCATGTGCCAAAGCCTTTCCCAGCTCCCAACACCCAGCAGTGTTTGCTGTGGGAGTGGCGTTGCTGGTATTCCCAGAGGGAGCTTGTGGGAAGGTGAGGGAGAGTGGTACAGCCCTTGCCCCTCTGGAGTGGCAGAGTTTGGGATGGGTTTGCTGATGCCGATCGGATATCAGGACTCCAGGGCTGCCAGCAACCTGAGCTGCCCAGGGTCAGAGTGCTGACCTCCAGAGGCCCTGCCAGCATCCCTCACATTCCCACTCCATGCTGGGAGCACCAGGAGTTGACAGGCCATCACCCTGCAGGAAGAGCTGATAGGGGAAAAAAGAGCTACTGTACCATTTCACCTGCTTCCCGTGGAGCTCCACTCCCTGCTCTGCTCCCGAGCGGGCGACTTCCCGCTGCCTCCGTGGGCTGTGGGGCTGGGCAGAGCTGGGATTGTCCTGGGAACGCCCGTTCCCGCTGCAGGCATTCCGTGATGTGCCGCAGGACGTCCGTGCCGATGCCACGGGTGGCCCGGAGCTGTGTGAGGAGGTAGCGGGCCTGGGCCGACCAGTACCACACCACGCTGCCCAGGTGGGCATCCCCTGCATCCTGGGGATCCCCGGTGTCCAGGCGGGCATCCCCCCCCTCCCTGTGGCTCCGGAGGCTCCGTCGGGCGCTGCCCACGGCGTGGACCGTGAGGAGCAGGAGGTGCTCTGCCGTGGAGAGCAGGTTGTCCCGCGGTGGCCGTTGAGCTCCGGCCTCCAGAGCGTCCCGGAGGGTGTTCCTGACCCACTGGACGTCAGCCACGAGCCGACTCGCCTTCTCCTCAAAGGCCTCCTTGCTCCTGTCCCTCTCCTCGTGGGAGAGGCCGGGCAGGGCTGCTCCAACCACGTCCTGGATGAGGTGCACCTGCTCCGTGTTGGCCCTCTCCAGGTGGAGCAGTAACGCCCTGGCCCTGAGGGCCACGTCTCTCCGCAGGAGCTCGAAGCGGACGGACAGGCTGGCTGAAGGCAGTGGGGAGACCAGGAGGGTGTTGGAGACGTCCAGCAGTGCTTCCATGAGCACCTGGATCTCCCCTCGGAGCGCCAGGATTTCCCTGGCACCGCGGTCTGTGGGAGAGGACAGGTAAGAGAGCCGGGCGGCCTCCTGCAGCCTCAGGGAATTCTCGGCCACGGCAGCCAGGAGGCTCCGTGAGCCAGCCTTGTTCCTCACGGCCCTGCTCAGCTCCCTCAGGAACAGCACATCCCTTCCCACGAAGCGATCCATGGCGTGCAGCAGGACACACGTGCCCACGGCCCACCGCACACCGTGCAGCTCCAGGATGGCCTTTTCCATCCTGCAGGAGCCCCCGAAGGATTCTGCCTTCTCCAGGAACACTCTGGTGTTCAGCTGAGCACGGGAAAACTTGGCTTGGACCTGCAGAAAGCTATCCCAAACTTGGGAGGGAATGGGATTTTCCTTACTACAGGCTGTGCTTGCAATGTCTCCTGCCAGCTGCACTGCTCCTGCTAAAGCCAGCATGGCCTCATCCAAAGCCTGCTTCCCTCTTGGAAAGTCACCTGACGAGACAAACCCAAGCACTTGCTGGGACAGACTATTCCAAGAGCCTGCCACGGCTGTCAGGCACTGCTGGGTGTCCCGGATCCTTCCCGAGAGCCTGAGTGCCATGTGGATCAGCCTGCCTGGAGCAGGGAGCTGGCTGCGGGCCGTTTCCATGGCCAGGCTGATAATCCTTGGGGTCAGTGCCGTGATGTCCCGGTGCTGTCCCAGCACCCGGAGCTGGGGGGTCTCGGCCACGGGCAGCGCTTCCCGCGCCGCATCCACGCAGCCCTCGGAGAGCTCCAGCAAGGCAGAGCCAGCGGCATGGACAGCGGCCACATCCCGGGCTCGGGATGCTGCCAGGAGAGCCCTGATGGCAGGGTGTGCACCCCCTTCCCACGGAACATCCGGGTGGGAGGTGCCTGGTGGTGAAGATGGAGGGCTTGGGGTGTCTCCGTGGAATGTGGCCTCATCCATACTGGTTTGTATCCTGGCGTGGGACGGGCTGAGCTCCGGCCCCTTTGCCACCTCAGTGCTCTGCACTCGCTCCCGGAGCGGGCTGAGGATATCCGGGTGGTTGGACCCGTCCAGCCCGGCTTGGACACGGAGAGCAGCGTCCATCAGGCAGCTGGCTGCCTGGGAAAAGGCATCCCGGGATTGGAGGCACTGGGCTGGCACTGCCCTCAGCTCCAGGATGGAATTGGCCAGCTGCTCCACCCACACCAGCAGGCCATTCCTGAAGATGGGATCTGTGGCCCTGTCCACGTGCCGGGTAGTGGCTCCAACCACCCAGCGTGCCCAGCCGGTGAGGCGAGCGGCGTGCCAGGAGAATCCCTCGGGATCCCCGCGTCCCAGCGCCGCCTCACACCATTCCCTGTGCTTGGCCATCTCCAGGACGGACAGCTCCAGGAATTCCCGTGTGCCGACCGTCTCCTCGAAGCAGCGCAGGAGGCTGCCGGTGGCTCCGGCCCAGGCGTGGCACAGGGCCTGGAGCTGCTCTGCGGTGTTCCCACTCCTTTCCAGGAGCAGGGAAGGGAGGCTGCCCAGGAGGCTCTGCAGGTGCTCCACCCGCTCCCGGATTTCCCTGGCAGTTTGGGATTTGGTGCAGCGGGCCAGAACCAGCTCGGCCGCTCGGAGCATCTGCTGGGCCTGAGCGAAGAGGGCGGCGGTGAGGGGCTGGAGCTTCCTTAGAATTCCTCCTGGTCCTGCTGGAAAACATCCTGAACCAGCAAGAGCAAGGGCACCTTCAACCAGCTGCCTCAGGGTCTCCTTCTCCTCAAAGAATCCCTCGAGGATTTGGCACAGCGTGGCCCTGAGCACGGTCCGGTCCAGGTTTTCCAGCTCCTCCCTCATGCTGTGACATTCCTGCTCCAATCCATGCTCTCCTGGACATCCTTCCAACCGCCTCATGCGGCCGCAGATGCTCTTCCTCAGCCGTAGCAGGACCCAGCAGCGTTCCACCAGCTCCAGCTGCAGATCCAGCCTGGATGAGTCTGCCAGCAGCATTCCATGGAGAACGACCGCTTCCACGTGGGAGCTGAGCCCGCCCTCGGAGAGGCGCAGCCGGTCCGGGTGGGAGAGGAGATCCAGCAGCGTGTTCACCTGCTGGGAGAACATCCCGCTCCTGTCCCGGGGCTCCGTGAGCAGGGAGAGGAGCTCCCTGATGGTCCCCTCTGTCAGCTGGAAAGCGCCGTCTCCGGAGAGGTCGGCTCGGGGATCCCTGGAATGTCTGACGGCTCCGTGGAGCAGGGGGACGCACCGGTGGAGGAGCTGCAGGGTGTGGGCCAGGCTCTCCCGTGCGGGACCATCCCCGAGTTCCTGGAGGCGCTTGGCTGTCAGGCGGCTCAGCAGGAGCGCGGCCTCGGAGAAGGCCTGGAATGCTGCCAGGAGCCCCGGCGTGTCCCGGGCATCCCGCAGCACACGCAGGCACTCCAGGAGCCGGCCGGCTGCCCGGGTGATCCGCCTCATCCCTGCGGCCTCTTCCAGCTGAAGGACCTAACCAGGGAACGAGGCATGAAATCCAGTCAGGAATTCCCATCCCTGTTTCATCCTGGGGGAGGGGGGTGGAGAAGGTGCGGTTTGCTCCACAGATCTGCTGGAGCTTCCCCAGCTCCCGTCCCTTCCCACCTTCCCGCTCACCTTCGCTGTCTCCGTGAGGACTCTCCGGGCGGTCCCTGCCAGGTGCTCCCGGAGCCGAGGGCTCTCCGGATGCTCCTGGAGCCGGAGCGCTGCCAGGAGCACATCCCTCCCGGCCTGCTCCAGGGATTTGGCCATGGGACACATCTCCTCCTCGCTGGGCTCCCGGGCCAGCCTGGAATGGGAGGGTTGGGCTCAGTGCTCCAGCGGGGCCGGGAAGCGGCACGGATGGGAAGTGTTATCTCAACCATTCCCCACACCAGGGCTGGCTGGGATCCGTGGGATCTACCTCTGGAAGGTGGGTGTTGTCTGCCAGGATCTGTGGGTTTGGGCTCTGGATTTGCCAAAGCATTCCTTAAATCCCCAGAACTGTATGTTCCTTTGGGATGTGTTTATTTTAAGCGTGGTTTGCTGAGGTGTTGCTTTGCCGTGTCCCTTCCAAGCACATATCCCTGCTTTCCCTTCCCAGTTCTATTCCCCATTCCCGATCCTACCTCTCCCCGAGGGTGCAGGCTCCCTGCCAGCTTTTCCATCTCTCCCCAGCCCCCAGATCCACCCGGGAGACTCCCATGGCCCTGAGCCTCCCATCCAGCTCACCTTCCTGCCACAGCAGCAAGTTCTTCCAGGGCTTTGGCCAGTTTTTCTGCCTTCTCCCCTAAATTGGGAAAGGCCTCACAAATCCCATCTTCCCGTTCCAGGGCCAGGAGGAGGTGGCAGAGCTCCACAGCCATGGGGCAGAGGATTCCCTGGATAGCTTTGTTTTCTGCTGGGAGCCCGAGCTCAGAGAGAGGAAAAGGCTCCATGTTGTCCCGCCTGGAAAAGGGAAACAAAACTTGGGATTATTTGGGATCCGGTGTGGAATAGCTACCGGTTTTGCCAGCAAGCTTGGATGTGGATGGCAGCTCCCGGCTTGGGAAGGGCTCCCGGCTTGGGAAAGAAGACTCCAGGTTTAGTTTCTCCCAGCCCTAAAACAGTCAGTCACCTGCATTTCCTGGGACACTGCCGCCGGGATTCCCTTTCCCGGGGGATCGCAGGGTGTTCCCGGGGCAGCGGGGAGGGAGGGATCGCAGGGTCTTCCATCCCCAGGGCCATTCCCGGTGTTCCCGGGCCGGGACGTTCCCGTGGGAGCGGCCACCGGGACGCGACAGCGTCGCCATGGAGACGGCGGCGGCGCGTAGTGACGTCATCGCGGCGCGCGGGGCACGCCGGGAGTTGTAGTCCCGAGGGGCTGCTCAGGGGTACGGAATTCCCTCATCCCAGGGAAGGATCGGGCAGGAATGTCCCGGTTTCCCCCGTGCAGGGACGTTGCTGATCAGCCCCCTGTGCTCAGGCAACGGGGGCAAGACACAGGTGCTAGCGAGGCCCCTTTTCTGCCCCTTCTCCTGCTTTTTTCCTTTGGGCGGGATATTCCCAGGAAAGGGCAGCCCCTCCTCCGTGGAGCCTGAGCTGTCCCGCGTTACGGGTGAGCTAATTCCCTGGAAACCTGGAGAGTGGCACAAGTAGAAGCAGCATCGGAGCTGCGGGAAAACACCTCCAGGATCGAGCTGACCCAGATCCAACAGCGCTGGATCCCGCTCCCATTCTCTGGGAATTCAGCACTGGAAGCTCCCGAAGGCATCCGCCTTTGGGAACGACTAAAGGGGTCCCAGCTTTCACCCCCCGCCCCCCCCCGGTCTCTCCCACGTGTGCGGGGCGCAGCCGGGCATCCATCCGGGGGATCCATCCGGGATCCATCCCGCATCCCGGATCCCGCATCCTGCGCGCGCCCCGCCCCGCGCACGCGCCCGCCGCGCTCCGGGTGCCGCGGAGGAGGAGGAGGAGGAGGGAGGAGGAGGAGGAAGAGCATCGGGAGCGATGGACAGCGCGGGGAAGGAGCGGGAGGCCGTGCAGCTCATGGCCGAGGCCGAGAAGCGGGTGAAGGGCTCGCACTCCTTCCTCAGGGGGCTCTTCGGGTGAGCGCGGCGGGGGAGACCCGGCTCCTGCATCCCCCCCCCCCCCCTCCTGACCTCTGCATCCCCCTCTCTCCCGGCTCCTGCATCCCTCGTCTCCCGGCTCCTGCATCCCCCCCTCTCTCCCGGCTCCTGCATCCCCCCCCTCTCTCCCGGCCTCTGCATCCCACTCTCTCCCGGCTCCTGCATCCCTCGTCTCCCGGCTCCTGCATCCCCCCCCGCGGCTCCTGCATCCCCCCTCCCCGCAATTCCTGCATTCATCCTTCTCCCGATTATTGCAGACCCTCAACTCCTGCGACTCCCCCCAACTCCTGTATCCCCCTCTCCATCTCCTGCGCCCCCTTCCCCATCTCCTGCCCCCACTTTAGCTCCTGACCCCCCCCAGCTCCAGGATCCCCCCTTTTCCCAGCTCCTGTATCCCCTCTCCCCAGCTTCTGTATCCCCCTCCCCGGCTCCCGTATTCCCCCTTTTCCCAGCTCCTGTATCCCTCCCTTTCCCATCTCCTGCCCCTCCTCCGTCTCCTGTATCCCGCTCTCCCCATTTTCTGTCCCTCGTCCCCATCTCCCGCCTCCCATTCC